AGGCCTGGGCTGTCCCCTGAACTTGGGTCTGAGCTTGAGCTTGAGCTTGACCTTGGGCTTGGGCCTGTGCTGGGGCCTGAGCCTGAGCCTGAGCCAAGTCTGGGCCTGGATCTGAGCTGGGGTTGGGGCCACGGCTTGGCCTGGGCCTGAGCCTGAGCTTGGGCTGAGCCTGGGCCTGGGCCTGAGCTTGGGCCGTGCCCCTGCGACCCCCCCAGCAATCCCCCCTCCCTCCTGAGCCCCGCGCTCCCCGCTGGCGCGTTGGCCCGTGCAGGACCGAGCTCCGCGCAGGAGGCGGGAGGAGGGACAGAGCAGGGGGTCCCGCACCCCGAGGGCAGGGCGAGGAGAAGGGGTCCCAGGAACCATCCCGCGCTGGCCTGGCGGCAGCTCCCAGCCCCTTGGAGCGCTCAGATCGATGTCCCGAGCCTGCGTGCATCCCTCCCTTCCGAGCCAAATCTTAGGGGAAAAATTGCGTTGCTCTTGTGTTAAGTCATTACCCACAGCAGGGCTTCGCTGACTCTTCGATCCCAGCTTTCTGCCGTGGCTTTTCATGAGTTGGTGTCCTTAGTTTGACTTTAATGCAGCTGGGGACAATATGTTGAGGGGGCCGAGTGACGGGGACACGGTCTTTGGAATGCCTTGAAGAGGGATGCTTACGCGGGACCAGGCTTTCTGCCCGCCCGGAGGAAGCACGGCTGACATCAGTCGGAGGGAAAGCAAGCTGGAGCGTTGGCTGAAAGCCTGGGCTGGAAACCGGAGGAATCTGGAGGAAGAGAGACAGAAACCCGGTGTCGGGGCTGGGACCGCTGTGACGCCGGGAGAGAGGGGGAAGAAATGGGTCTCTGGCGTGACTGACCTGCGGGGTGGAAGAGGCGGCTCGAGACGGCGCGTGGGAGGTGGAGGATGATGCCCCTCTGCACCAAACGGCCTCAGAGTTTGCTTCAGCAAACTGCTGCCGCTGGGTTTAAACCCCTCGGTCAACGCAAAGGATCGCAGCGCTAATAATGCCAGCCCCGGTCAGGAGTTCTTCCTTCCTGGGTTGGCTTAGAGAGTGAGTTGGGCCCCTCACTACAAGAAGGATGTTGAGATGTTGGAGCGTGTCCAGAGAAGGGCAACGAGGCTGGTGAGGCGTCTGGAGAACAAGTCTTATGAGGAGCGGCTGAGGGAACTGGGGTTGTTTAGCCTGGAGAAAAGGAGGCTGAGGGGAGACCTCATCGCTCTCTACAACTCCCTGAAAGGAGGTTGTAGCGAGGTGGGGGTCGGTCTCTTCTCCCAAGTAACTGGCAATAGGATGAGGGGAAACGGCCTCAAGTTGTGCCAGGGGAGGTTTAGATTGGATGTAAGGAAAAATTTCTTTACTGAAAGAGTGGTTAAACATTGGAACAGGCTGCCCAGGGGAGTGGTTGAGTCACCATCCCTGGAAGTATTTAAAAGACGTGTAGCTGAGGCGCTTAGGGACATGGTTTAGTGGGCATGGGGGTGTTGGGTTGATGGTTGGACTCGATGATCTTGGAGATCTCTTCCAACCTTAATGATTCTATGATTCTATGAAAATGCATGATTTCATTTGGAGTAGGCCCCCCTGCTCAACAGTGACGGGCTGAGGAAGGCTGGGAAGGCAATTTTCTTTTTTAAACCAATTTCTTTCGAAAAGCAAACAGAGGCTATTTATGTATCAAACGAGAATGCCGGTAAGCGTTCAGACACGTGGAGTATTGACTGCTTGCTCTAAATATAGCAGATGCAGGCGCTCACTTTGTTCCTACTGTCAGGAATAGATCCCGGCTCGGGCGCTGGTGCTGGAATGTGCGAAGGGAGGCCGGGGGAGACCAGGTCCCGCTGAGCAGATCCCCGCGGGGAGGCTGATGGTATTTATGGTCCTTGGCTGAGCCAAGCAGGAGGCAGAGGATGCTGCGTCCTCCACGTGGGGCTGAGCCGAGAGGTTCATTTCTGTCACTTTTTATGGGCTGTTCCTAAAGCGAGACTTGATCCAGGCTCCGTGGGGGACACTTTCCCCTGTACTGTGCTGGTTTTAACTCTCCCCTTGACTTTATGGAGGAGGGCGGCTAATTGCTAGGCTGCTGGACGCCTGCCTCTGACGGGTGAGTCAGGCAGTCATTAGAGCGGGTGACAACACGCAGAGACCATTCAGCTGTACCTAAAGCGTTGTCAATCAGCGTTTCTTTGTGCCATTCCGTTCCCATTTTGGGTCGTGTTCCCACAGCAGCTGGAACATACAGCTTTATCTAGCTGGCGTTCCTCCCCGTCCCTGCCTCTCACCTTCCCTTTCTCGTGGGAACGGCTCCTC